ATAGGGACAGAGAGCTGTAGGGAGTAGGATTTATTCCTGTATTAAAGACGTGAGGTCATAGAGTGAAGGTGGGGAAAGCAAGGTGTAGGAGAGAGATGAAGCCCCGCCTGCATCAACAATATGTGTGCTGTCATGACTGAAGGGAGAGAACGGTGTAGGGAGAGTATGCATGTTGAGTACATGGAGATAAACGTGTAGAGAGATGATACAGCCTGCCCCAATGACACCGCAGCATTAGCAACAGCAGCTGCAGTAGCAGTGAAGCTTCCGGGCCACTCATGCGATTAATCCCCCAATGTATTACATATTACATCATCGTAATCAGTCACGCAAGTCCCCTCCGGCTTGATTCGCGATCTTGTGAAGAATTCTTCTTTTTTTTGGTAAAGTCGCCTAGTAGAGGCAGCATGCTGAGGATTTAACGCATATATAATTTAAGATGCTTTAGTGCCTATACAGTGGCCCCCGCTTTATCGGGACACAGGTCGGGAATCATGAAAATTTCCCGATTGAGTGGTGGTGCCGAATAAGCGGTGTGCCCGTTTATCTACGGCCGTAATTCGTAGACGGGCACTGTACGATCGCCTGAGTGATCTTTTAGGACGTGTCTGTCATGGAGAAGATAAAGAAAAACGCAACACGGGAGTTATTAAGCTGGGTTTACACTGCCAACTTTGTGTTGGCGAATTGGCGAATTGGACTAACTTCCCAACGCTCTATCAACCGTTCTATGAACTGTGCAGCGCGTTTACACTGACGACTTGGCTAACTCGATCGAGCGGTCAGCGTCGACCGCGAGCGTACGCGTGGGGCGATGGATATAGGCATTATTGCATGTATAAATTCTTGAGGTATCGCACGCACAGGCGCAAAGACTCGTGCACAGTCACATAGTTGGGATGCCACGAGGGCAGTGGAATACTGGAGGGGTTTCCCATTGGATTTGTCCATGCTCGTGATGCCAACCTCCTCCTCATGTGCACGTGCGCGTGTACGTGCGCGCACGCGTGTACCTTCCCCGTTTACAACAGGTATCTGCCGTATCTGCCGTATCGCACACACCGTATCTGCCGTACCGCACACACCGTATCTGCCGTGCCGTATGCACATGACCGCACGCGTGCGCGGTTAGGGTTATATCACACCCCTCACAGCAGGCTATCCCAGAAACCACCGCGCCGATGCATGTATGCATTGTATCAGGAGTGTATAATAGGGATTCTTTATCTGCTCTTGATTGTATGTATGGCACATCCATAACATATGATTCTAATACGGCTGAATAGCCGATCTGGTAGAGCGACTGGCGTTACCTCTGAAGGTCGTTAGTTCGAAACCCATATGTTCTTTTTTTAATTTTTTTTATTTTTTAATTTTTTTATTTTTCTATTTTTATCCATTTAACTATTTTTTCCCAATTAACGCAAATATTTATATGATTTTTTTTATTAAATTAAATTAGGGTTAGGGTTAGAGTTAGGGTTAGGGTTAGGGTTAGGGCGTAGGCTGCGGTGGTTTCTGGGATGTGAGGGGTGTGATATCAGGTTAGGGTTAGGGTTACCCTAACCCTAACCCTAACCCTAACCCTAACCCTAACCCTAACCCTAACCCTAACCCGCGTGCGCACACATACACGCGTGCGTGCACGTACACGCGTGCGCGCACATACACGCATGCGTGCATATACATGCACGCATGTGCGCACATACACGCGTGCGTGCACGTACACGCGTGCGCGCACATACACGCATGCGTGCATGTACACGCATGCGCGCACATACACGCATGCGTGCACGTACACGCATGCGCGCACATACGCATGCGTGCACGTACACGCATGTGCGCACATGCGCATGCGTGCACGTACACGCATGCGCGCACGTACACGTATGCGCGCACTTACACGCGTGCGTGCACATACACGCGTGCGTGCACATAAACGCGTGTGCGCACTTACACACGCACGTTCACGCGCACGCGTGCGCACATACACGCGTGCGTGCCCACATACACGCGTGCGTGCGAGCGTGCACATTAGGAGCTCGGCTGCACGTGCTTGGACAAACCCAATGCCCTCGTGGCAACACCGGCATCCTGACTCTGTGACTGTGCACGAGTCTTTGCGCCTGTGCGTGCCGTACCTCGACTTTTATGCCACAGAGAGTCGTGTTAGCTTCCTTGCCTGTCTCGCAGTGTTGTTATTACAATAATCCGTTAGTTCTGTCTGCACGGTGGGGCGGGATGTGCCTGTCGTCGTCGTCGTCGTCGTCGTTGTTGTTGTTGTTGTTGTTGTTGTTGTTGTTGTTTGTTGTGCTGTTTCTTGGCGGCGGCAACGGAGAGGAGAACAGGGGGAAGAGAATGATGTTGGGGATGCGGATGAGGATCGTATGCGAGGATGCCATGTACGTGCACGCACTGGTTGATGAGCGACACCTTGTTCTCTGTAACTTCCGGCTCCGCCGTGTCCTCTCGAGTTCCCGTGACGTCGGCACCTCGGCGACGTAGCGCCCAAAGTAAATGACGTAGGGACGATGTTGAGCACGCAAAAGAGAGCGTGGTGGCCAAGCAGGTGGTGCACATCGCAAATTCTGACCTTACTACTTCTTTGGGGCGGCACTGCCCGCCTCATTTCCATTCCTACCCTATAAAGTATAGCGATTGGGTTGATGTTACGCATTTATAACAAAGCGTGGATGCCGGACAGTTTGTGCGCATTGCAAATCCTTTCACTTTGATTGTGAATTGTGATTCAAAATTTTCACTTTGGTCGCATCATCCCGCAGCAATTTTCCCTATGGTAATATACATGAACTGACGCTCGCGTCGCTCGTCGCCGTTGCAAGCCAAGATAAATACCTTCGGCCGATCTTGGGCATTCAATCGACGTCACGTGTGCATTGTAAAATCTCATTTACAAGATTCACTTTGCTCGCACCATCGCGCTCCGGATGCCAAGATAATTTTCTTCGACCGTTTTCACACGTTCAACGGCCCGGAAACCGGACCCTATCATAATAATATCTAATATATTATTTATTAAATAAATCTATGCTGAGAGAGAGAGAGAAGGTGGGAGACTGAGAAAAGGCGGTAGGGATGATAGCTGAGCGGCCGTAAAAGAAGCAGGAGGTTGAGCCAGGGTCAAGGGGAAGGACGGGGGTGAAGTAGGTGTTTTGCACGCTACAGGCTATAGGGCGCGCTTCTAATTATAAATACAGGTCTAATGTATAATGATTTATTACATAAATCTATGCTGAGAGACCCCCTGACCATAAATAAATAGTCATCACAAAATATAACTCCTCTGGTGAGATATTGCACATGCGCTAACACACGAACGTAGCCAGATTGTGTACTGATCATGACTGGTATATGCAGCGCGGACTTTACATGCCATAACATACCATAAGATCTTCTTCCTATTTCTTAAGTAAGGTCTACTGATGGAATGTTATCATATAAATCTATGGTAGGATAACTCCTCTTCATTTCAAATGCATAATTGTTGCATAATATTAATTTTCTCGGGAGATATTGCGCATGCGCGAACACCGTTATTAAATCACCGCGTTGCACTCTCTCCCTCTTTCTCTTTCCCCCTCTTTCTCTTACTCCCCCTCTCTCGTTTTCTCGCGCGCGCTCTCTTCTCTTTCTCGCTCGTTCCCTCTCGCTCTAGTGAAATGAGCAATTTCAACAAATTAATTTAAATGTGTAATGACGTACGCGCTTAATAGCTGCGGCATTATGCCGCTACGTGGCGCGCCTGCTCGGCCACAGTAATTGAGTGGCAAAGCAAAGGTTACAACCTTTTTGCAGCTTTTTTTCACAATTCCAAAAAAGAGTTTTGCTGTCATCTCGCCCTCATCTCAGCGGTGGTCACCCCTACATATTCAATAATGAACCCGACCTAAAAATGCCCCCCTGTACATAGTCATGTGATAGTCAGAATGAAGGATGTACATGTACTCAAAAGTACCTCAAATACCATTTCCCACACTCAGACACGTGCCGTAGAAACGCTCGCGCAAATGGTCTCTCTCTGGGTGGAGGGACACACCCCTGATTGCTGTTCTCTGATTGGCCACTTGGCAAAAAAAACGTCCAACACGCCAACTCCGAGTTGGCGAAAATAGAACATGTTCTAATCTTCCAACTCATTGCTATCGATCGGCTGGGCGCGCAACTTTTGCGTTTACACTGCCGATTGTCAGTTGCGAAGTTTCGAAGTTGGTACAATTCGGCAATTCGCCAACACAAAGTTGGCAGTGTAAACCCAGCTTTAGAGTAGGCACGCTATTAGTTGATCATGTCCCCATAAGAGGGCGATCTAAGAGTACAGCGCCAAATGTGTTTTCAAGCAACGCTATATCACTGTGGGACAGGATTTCTTTGAGTTACTGCGTAAGAATGAATTGCTATGCTGATCTCGCGTGCATTCCCCGCGCTCGGTATAACGGTTTTTTCATAGTATAATCATAACATGATCGTTTTCTGACAATTGCTGCCGATTATGCGAAGATTATTTTGCAAAACCGCCTGCTAGCCACGACATCTCTTTATTAACGACCCGTGGTTTTCCTTTTGTTTTCCTTTTGAGTGGCTTCATCCTGTGAAATTGCTAATTGCCTCCGCGTGCAGGGTGGAGCTGTGTCATCTAATGAGATCTTCCCTTCTTATATTAAAATGTTAGGGTTTATGGAACCCTTTGAAGAGGGGTGGTATACAAAGGTTGGTCTTTGTTCAAGTGTCCTTAATTATCAGTCTCATTAGCGTTATCACGTTAGGAGCTGTAAAATAATTTAAATATATAAGACTATAGGTATTACGTGGTATCAGGAGTGAATAATAGAGTGAATAATAATAGAGTGAAAATGGAAATAAAAATATATAAAAATCGGTAAAAATAGAGTGAATAATAATAGAGTGAAAATGGAGATAAATATATATAAAAATCGGTAAAAAATAGAGTGAATAATAATAATACGTGAATCATAGAGTCTCTATTATTCACTACTGGTGATATTTTACTGCTAATATTGCCCCCGCTGTATTGCGGCGGCGTAGAATAAGCGGTATATATAACGTTATCGTCAGCATCCGATATTTGTATTGATTTCCCAAGATGTTTCCAACGAGATGAAATTAGCGTTGTGCTAGCGGCGTTGTCGAGAAAGATGATACATCATTTGCGAACAGCATCACCACTTGCACAATTACATTACTGTTTGTGTTAGTGGCGTCGTAAGCGCAGGTGTTGGGGATACAACGCGCATTTATCACGCACGCTTCAGAGACGGGAAGTAGCTGTAACTAATGGATCATTTAATCGAAATGTTGAACAGCTTAGCTGACGAGAATATATGGCGAAATATTTCAAACTAGCTAAATTGAATGGTCTGACAAGTGTTTTGCTACAGTCAGCGATGTATTCCCTGTCCGCTCCACTGACGATTGACGTTAGTTAGTGCGTTAGTGCACGCACGTGACGTGTGTTAGTGCGGCAACGCTTGAGTCTTTGAGCTTGTATCTATTGCCTCAAGCCCAGCATAACCGTTGTTAGCAGTGATCCGTAGACTTGCAAGTTGACTAAAATTCCAACTTTTCCAACACTGCAAACTGCAAGGAGGCAGCAGGTGTTTCCCAATAACTAAGCACATTTAATTTCTTCGAGTCTTAACACGATTTGATGAAAAACCCCCGAGTCTTTCCTCAAAGGAACAGTTGTCGACTACGTAAACACGAGGGGGGGAGAACGCTCGCCCCGTTTATTATCCGTAAACGAATAGCTAGCTTCGTGAAACCGCGCGCCAACTCGCCGGGAGAGGGTGACCTCTTCTTATTATCTCTTCCTATGACGCATCTTCGTTTCACAGGAAGTTGAGAGCTCCTCGCCGTCAGTGCCCTCTGCCGTCCCGGCGGTCGGCGCGTCGGCGGTGGTGCTACCTGGCGGACAACTGCAGCTGCTCGTCAAGGTCATCAAGGCGAAGAGTCTAGGGGAGGTGGCCGGCTGCATTGACCCGTACTGCGTCGTCGAGCTGGACAACCCGGCCCGCAAGTGCATGACGTCGGTGATCCGCGACACGGTCAACCCGTTCTGGGACGAGCACTTCGTTTTGTGAGTTTTGGTTTCTCGTGTGTTTGGTGGATGGGGGGGGCAATGGAGTTTGTGTGCCGTGTGGCGTGTGCGTGGTGGCGTGGTGCGTGTGCGTGTGCGTGTGCGTGTGTGTGTTGCGTGGGTGTTTGTCGGTGCCGTGTACGAATGTGCGTTGTGTGTGTGTGTGTGTGTGTGCGTGTGGTGCGCGTGTGTATGTGTGTGTGTTTGCGTGGCGTGCGTGCGTGTGTGTGCGTGCGTGCGTGCGTGGCTGTGTGTGTGTGTGTGTGTGTGTGGTGTTTTTCTTTTTTTTTTTGCGTGCGTGCGTGCGCGTGCTGGTGACGTGCATAGCGTGTGATGGTGTGTGTGGTGTGGTGTGTGTGTCGATGTGTGTATTGCGTGCCGCTGTGTGTGCGAGCGTATGTGTAGCGGTGAGTGTCGTTGCAGTAAGTCTAATGTCACGAAAAAGCGCTCTGTTTTCGTGTGTGTAGGCGATGCCTGATAGCGTGTGGCGTATTTGCCTAGCTGCTCACGCAAGGCTTCGCAAGTGCCTCGATAGACCATGCGTGTGCGTTGTTTCTGTTTTCCAGCCCCATCAACACGCAGTCGGAAGCTCTGACATTTGACCTCTACGACAGAGCTAAGGACACTGGCCGTAAGTGACGCGTCTAACCCACACCGATCTAATTAACAGCGCATTCACGTGTCCCAGTCTCGTGTTTATGTACCGTATATGATCGCGTAATAACCGCGGGCGCCTATAAGCCGCACCTCAATTTGAATCGGGTAGCCAAGTATTGCGCCTAGTATATTTCCCCTCATGATATAGCGCACTTATAAACCGCAGAGCAAATACAGGGTTGAAATCTGAGGTCAAATTTGCGGTTATTACGCGAGTATATACGGTACGTGGCCAGGGAGAATTCCTCCTCTCTCTCCCCCAAGGCATCTTCTAGAAATCTCGAAGGGGCTTCCTCTTAATTCAGCTCACGGGCACGACAGAGAATATGGGAGGAATTTCCGTGGTTGCTTTGTTAGACGCTTTTGCATTTATACGAGACTCTGCGTTAAGCCGTTTCGGGTAGGCTTATTGCCATTAGCTAAGATTGGTCGTGACAGTAATGCCCGTAGCTGTCTACTGACCGATTTTTTAATGCACGCGAGTTTTTACAGCGTCGGAAAAAGCATCTTTCTACGTCGCAGCCGAAATAGGAGATGTCCACAGTAACTAGGGAAAAAAATAGAATTCGTTCTAGCAGACCACTTCGACTCTCATAAATAAATTACCTCGTGTTGATTTAGTATATAGCGAAAGGTGGAAAATCCGCCATGGTCTGCATATGATATGTGTGTGCATCACGGTCAGTTTTGTAAAAAGTTCACTCGCGTTTTACGACAATATTATAGTACAGGAGCTAAAAGCTAAAAATAATACGCGGATCATGTATGCGACCGCACGCATCTGATTGTCCGTCCTATGTCTCGCACCTGCATCTCGCAGTGGACTTCCTCGGTCAGGCAGTGGTCAGTGTGAGTGAACTGCGCAGCAACCCGACCCCTCGCCAGATTATTGACCTGGCTGGCCGACCCGAGAAGGATGACGAAGAGGTGTCTGGTGCGATCACCTTAGAGGTAGGTTGTCCACAACTCCCACCCATACTTACTTACCGATACCTACAACATAACAGCAGTTCACGTCGGCTAGATGTCTGTGATGAGGGTAGGTGACACTTTCTACACTGCATCCACCTTCTCTCACTTACTAACCTATATACACAACATCAAGAGCGTATTAAGAGCGTATTAAGAGGGTATTAAGTGGGTATTAAGCTTCTTTATACGCTCTTGACAACATAACGTACACTCACGTCTGCTAGACGTGAGGGATGGGGTAGGCAATATATTCAGTAAAACTTTCGTCACTAAAACTGTAATTTACTCAGCTAACTAAAAAACGAATAAACGTAGCAGGTCTGAAACGTAGGTAGCAGAACGTGATACGCCCACATATTTTTCTGTTCGAGTTGCGTCATAAATGATATCATTTTCCACACATTTGAGCCGTGCGATGTTTCTATAGCTTTTCCACGCCTTTTTGTTGCGTAACATTATCCACACGTTTTGTGTACATTTTATATTATAGTGTGATATACCTTTGCTGTAACAACCATGTTGAAATACTAAGTGAAACCTGTTAACTGTTACAAGTTCTCCTATATTTAGCATCTAACTCATATAATTAGACGAATGTATACCTGTGAAGGCAAGCAATAAATACCAAGTAAAGTATTACCTGGCAAAGTATTACCACTCCTAGCTTGTAGTATATTTATGCACCAAGTTCGGGAAACATTGCTGATAGAGTATATAAATTAAGCAAGTATAATCTAATCCACAAAAATCATAAATCATAAAATCCATTAGGCGACCGCATGCATGCAGCAGTATATTTAATCAACGCTATTCCGTTGTGTTAATTGCCACTGTTAATATAGCCTTTTCTTTTATCGCAGTTTGCATACATGGACGGCGAAATTTTGCCCCAAAACGAAGCGAAACAGACAACTAGCGCCACACCCAAGCCAATTGATGGTAGGCCGACTACACCCACTATAGTTCGTCTTTTGCATGAACGCTATGATTTCCGGGTAGATTTCGCTACAAGTTTGCATGTGTCAGATGATACTAGTGATACGATAGGGATATAACTCGTGTATATAAAGACTAATGTCCATACATACATACAATACGGGCCTTATTTATTACATCAATGTCAACGGAATGAAGCAACGCCTCCCGTATACCACCACTATATATATATATATACATCATATATATAGACCCACACACGTGTCATGATGTAAGAATGTGATTCGACCCGCGTGCATGCATGTGCAACCGAGTAGGTGAAATTAAGCAGCTAGGGTTTCCCATCATCGAAGTCAGTCCGGGTCACGAATATAGATGAGCGCCCTCTATAAATCTTACGACTTCTATCACCCTTACTGCTTGCAATGAATAATGAATGCCGTCACCGCCACCACGATCCCGTTTCAAGTGGCACCTCTAAAGTGATATTATTACTCGGTCGATATATTTTTTCTTAGCGGTATATCGACTATCGTTTGCAAAAGCAGCGCCCATCAGCTGCTAGTAATGTATATGTACATATAGATTAAGTGGTCTGTGTAAGCCGCTGCTATTAGTCCGGAACACACACGGAAGCACCTCACCACATGAACACGCGTTATAGTGTCAGGCGTGTATAATATAGACTATATTACATTATATAGCCTATCTATATTATACATATATATTTTATATTATATTATATATATATATATATATATATATTATTATATTTATATATATATATATATATATATATATATATATATATATATATATATATATATATTATACACTCCTGATAGTGTTGCTACTGTAGTTCTGTTACGTGCAGCATTCACCGATATTGACATTACCGAGACGTAACGATAACGGATATTTATTCACTTGTTTAATTAATTATTTATTTATTTATTTAATTTTTTACTAATTTGTAAAAATGTAAAAATTTGTGGCGAGGGGAGGGGTAGAGGATTCGTTGATCGCATGATCGCGTGATGATGTTGAAGCCGCACGTCTGCACGTGACGGCCATGTACGTGGAGCCGTTCCTCTTCGTCCGGTATATAGTCTGTTTGCTGCTCCGTCTAGCGGTTCTATACGTACACTAGGTTTGACGCAGTTACGGCTTAATCACACTTAATTACTTTCTTAATTACGCTTAATTACAAGCACCATGCTTGCTATACGACACTATAGCTGCGATACTCTGCAACGATGTGCCATATAGTTCCTTCCCGGCTCGCATGCAATCAAGTGTAGTCGTAGATAATGAGACAAATGATAGGCGTAGATTCTGTGCACAGATGTTGATTTCGTAGTGAAACCACAATGTTAGTTAATATGAAGAGCTAATAATACATAGGTACTACATCGGTACATAAATAATACATAGGTGTTATTAGCTCTTGCTTAATATGTGTAGCTGTAGTTTAATCTTAGCGCATGCGTTTATCAATCCACTTCTATTCCTGTAGAACACTTGGTTTATACCCAGCCCGTGCACCCTCAATATACCCTCATTGTGTCCTTAATCTGTTCACTTGGGGGCAGGCATCTATACGAAACCAGATTCGGGCGAGTTGAGCTAGGTGCTCTTAACCTATCTTCACGAGTAAGGAAAACCTAAGGCAATGTAAGCCGGAGTATTCACGTTATCATGTGTTCACTCGTATGTTACATAACGAGGGAATCCGTTTCTGAGTATTGAATTGCTGAAGCTGGTGCCCGTTGAAGAGGGTCGGTAGGTCGCATTTGTTATCGCCCCCCTCAACCACACGCACACGTACGGATATACACACCTATGCAGGCTGTGATGAGCTACGTATTTGCTAATAGTCGAGACGTCTACTCGGTCGTATATCTTCTAGAAGAATCGTTTACCTGCAAGCGTTGCGCATCTGCCGTGAATCTGGCAATAACTTATGCACAGGTGGGGTCGATTGGTCATCACTTATTCGATTTAGACACCGTTACCTGTGAGAAGTCAAGCATTAGTCAATATTAACTGCATTCCTGCTGCCTCTCTCCCACTGATGGAATAAACATACATGTTCTTATCACTGCATAGCCTAGCATCGATGATACAATATTGCTTCTCAGTACACGACCAACAATACTGTAGACACTGTCGTGCATCATGGGTCGTAGGTCAAATGCTGGGGGTCAAAGGTCAAAGCTCGCATGTCGTAGGTCAAAGGTTGTGTGTCGAGTGCGGTAATATGACTAGAGGGAGGGAGAGGGTTCCTAGCAAACATTGTTATTCCTCGCCGCTCCGTACCACCGCCTCAGGTCGGCCCGCACGAATTTCGCCAACGTGTTCCTCCGATTTGCTAGCGTAGCATAGTAGTGAGTGCCTGCGTTGTGACTTGTGTTATTTTTGTGACTAACTTCTGCAGAGACACCTATCCAAGTTAGCCAGCAATCTGCTCCAGCCATGCAGGTGTGCGAAGTGAGTGTCGAGAAAGGTAATAAACTCCTGCCACATATTCTCACCCACTCCCCCCCCTACCCCCCTACTTGTGAAGCCATGATGAATTTGAAAGTATGGGAAAAGTGAGCGATGCTTGAATGTTGTCAGGAGTACTTTCAAAATTTGACCGGCTGTTTGTTTTCTTCCCACTGTGTCCTTCGATATTTTCGTTGCCCTTCGTCGGTGACTGATCTTCTTCCTATGTCAATCTCTGGTTCGTTGTTTCTCGTCTCCCATAAGATGGTACGATGAGCAGTCTTACGCCAGACGATGTGCTGTCGTAAAGTGCTAATGTCGTGTCTCGATACTTTACACTAATCGTATACTTATGAACTTGTATTGCACTTTCCTCGGCGGAATTGAAGGAATTGTCCTCAATTATTCGTTTCAGTGCAAATTAAAGTTTAATACCCGCTGCGGTGATTGCGTGATTACTATTATTCGTGGTCAGAATTGAGTTGTTGTCAGACAAACATATATGATGCTGTGAAAAGATTAATCGATCAATTGCACAATTAGTTTGCATGGGTTCGTACAGCAAACAAAAAGTATTTTGATTGGCTAAACGTAATGAATGGAGCAATATCATTCTACCAGTTTTATAGTTGCGTCCGTTCGCCTATCCGTATAATTTACTGTAGTAATCGTTCACTATATCTTATATATATATATATATATATATATGCGTGAATACTATAGACACTGCTTCTCCAGCGCGTTATTTGAAAAGTACGGTAATTGAGACCATTCCTGCAATTCTAGTGCTTAAGGTTTCTGAGGAGGACGCAAAGTGCATGCCGAGCTGTAAATGTTTTTTGCACGTCAGTTCTATTTTAATTTTCCAGCAATTGCATGTTTTTTTCTCGTAAAAATATTGTTATGCAGAATTACTGATCATGCATGTGTAAAGTTAGTTGAGATAAGTTAACTAATTCCAGCAAAATCATTAAAGGTGATGGCTGAAGCTGAATTTTCACCACAGGTCTACTAAAGTATTGTGATCACAAGCGTTTCGCTATCAGTGCCTCATGATTATTGCATAAACGAATCTATTCTAAACCGGAAATTCCCTGGGTATTTTCCCCGTATTTTCGCACCCGTTTTTGCCATTAGGCGGATTCATCGATCAAATAAGGGATTTAGGCAGCTTGCATCAAGCAGTGTAGATAATACTGGCCGTTTCAAACTAGTAATTCATCACTGCACAGCGACGATTTTCACTGAAAATTATGTTGATATCTATTTTGTACGCTGTCACAGCGGTTGGGCACGCGTAAAACAAATGATCACGATGCTTTAGAAGTCTTTTCCTTGTCGGGATGGTGCGCATTGAAAGAGACGATAATGATTCTAATCACTCCTGCTGCGTTACACGCAAGAGTGGAGCATGAAATATTGCATGCTGCCTATATAGCCGGGCAAGACAATGCACCCTGCCTGCATGTTACCTGCATGTGCTTTTCTTTCTCACCGACAGATGTCTCTGCTGGTAGTTCAGTGGCCTCTGATCCCGTGTCGACTTCCCACAGCGACGTTTGCAGAGTTATCGACTTTGGCTCAGAAGGCCTAGACGATGCTGAAGGTGTCAAGTCTGTCTCGATGAAAATACACGCGAGTTTTTTTTGGCTGGTTTCCGCTACAACCAAATGCACGGCTCAGCTGATGCGCGCCACTGAGTCGAACAGCATTGTGACTTTCGTGTAACCTTATACCAGCGCCTGTTGTTTTCACTTTGCTCTGAAGCACGCTTTGTATAGGGCTTTTCTTATTTACTGTAAGAAACAGGGCGTGCCAACACCTCCAGCTGTATTGTTCGTTCGCGCGCTGCCGATATTTCTTGTGCAGCGCATATCTGGATGTAGTTTTTATGTTTAGGTTTACAATCTTTGCTGTGTTATTTTACTGCACTTTCGGCTGTTGTACTGCGTCTCTGAAAGAGAATGCATAGAAGAACTCTGTACCTAAGTAACTTCGAATTATGCCATAGACACTTGAACCCGGGTTTGAAATTGCACACTGCCAAGGCATAAGTGCTGAAATGGAACGTTGCGTATACGTATTTGTTATGTAGAACTCCCAAATAATGAAAAATTTAACTCAAAAGCTCTAATCTACCAAGGCTTAGGGCCAAGAGCTACGTTACTGACGGTGTCTTCAACCTTGGATGTTCTTGAACAACACATAATCGTCTTTATTTCTATATATTAAGGGTTTCAATACATTCCTGACAATATAATCGGCTAATGTTTTGCCTGTTTTCGTGGGTATTATCAAAAGCGTATTTGACAATCATACCTTACACTAGCTTGTGGCCGAGCTGCCATATATGCTGCATTGTTATAGACACTGTATTGAGACGACAGTTTCTTATGGCAAAGATACGTTTTAATATTATTTTGCAATGGCCCGTGTAAAAAGTCAATATGATGCAGAAAAGATACATAAAATGTGTGCAAAGTTATGACTTGACGTACTTGAAACCCAAGGTTGAATAAGACACCGAGAATATCTACTTTGAATATGTGTGTTTTGCAGACACAGACCTTTGAAACAATTTTCAGTATTTGGGAGTTTTGCATTAATTATTAGTTATATATATATATCTATTCCATGGAATCAAATTTAAATACACCAAGTCATTAATAATCTACCCATATCTCGCGGTGATGTCAATTTTCTGATCCGATATCGGATAGAGTTCAGAGTACAGTCTGAATTGTGGTCACCTGAAACCAATCTTACAAGCGTCGATCACGTACATTTGCGCGCTCATCAATGTGACAACTCGGTGACAGTTTTTGCATCATTTCCTCTAAAAACAGACCTAATTGTCTTGGCAGACGTGAACAGTCCAGCTGAGGCTGCGATTCGGGATCTGGAGGGCGGACACCAGCCGCGCACTCCGACTAAGACCAGTCACCTGATGATCACTGGAGTTATTAGGGTAAGCAGGCGCTCACGCACACGCGCACGCACACGTACGCAAAACACACACGCACACACACACACACACACACACACACACACACACACACACACACACACACACACACTCACACCACACTACACCACACCACACAGTCACCATGCACACTGCCTCGCACCTACGCCCACGAGCACACACTCACACGCACTAGCACACAAGTACACGTAAGTACGCGCGCACGTGCACCCACGACCACACACTCAATCACACAACCTACACCTACACCTACAACCCCGACCACACTACTCACCACCACACACACACACACACAGCCACAGCCACATCCACCACACAACACCACACACACCAGCCCACGCCACGCCACGCCACACACAACCTACACCAACCACACACAGCCACGACCGACTCGCCGCTACTCATAGCCCACACACTCCACGCGCAACGCGCGCAGCACACGCAGCACGTACCATACTCGTCACACGCGTGAATTTATGAAGCCATGTACACACACGTCTACGCACGCACACGCAGCACGTACCATACTCGTCACACGCGTGAATTTATGAAGCCATGTACACACACGTCTACGCACGCACACGTAGCACGTACCATACTCGTCACACGCGTGAATTTATGAAGGCATGCACACACACGTCTACGCACGCACACGCGTGCAGCTGATGTTGCCTCTGCTATAGGTAACTCAGTAGACAGCTGGTACGTTTAGTATTCTTTAGGTTGGCTGTTAGAGGTACCAGTAACCATGGTTACGCTCTCTTCTTTAGTGTCGCTATTACAGACTATTAGTGTGTGTTTAGGGTGTGGTGTACGTGTGTGTAGGCACGTGTTTTAGGGTGAGTTTTATAACATAAACGGGGTATACGTATAATGTCTACTTCACTGTGGTTAATATCGCAGGCACATAATAGCATTAGTTCTATATATTCATAGTAAATATGACTGGCACTCAGAACCCATTGTGTTATTCAGGATATATGTGAGAGGAACCCACGACTTCCTATTTCGGAGATGTGAATATTAATGCTATTGTTATTGATATTATGGTATATAGACCGACTGTTATGCGGGCTGGAATGATGTTAGTATATTTTGCAAATGCTTGGATCCGTGAATGTATCTTGTAGATGCACTTTATCATTTTAGGCTTTACTTTATGAATACTGCTTCCACGTTTTCAATACTTATTTGTTTTGCTTGGCTTGTTTTCTACAACATCCTATGGCAAAGAGAAATTCAAAACGTTGTATGCGCTGTTTCAACCAGTTCTACGATTGCATTACTGCCAAAAATGTATTTGTTGTAGTTATCTTGCAGCTCCCTCTCCCTCTCCTATACTGCGATCATAAAAACATGTTATGACATCATAGATATCACATTTAGCATCGGTGCCTGTTCAGAGTGCCCTAACGCCAATGGGTATCTTTTGAGGTAGTGCTGAAGTTATTTATGGGTGAAACATTTTTCGTGTACGCGAGAAATTTGTATTCACGTAATTAGGTTAATTTACATTATCGTAGGGTTAATTTACTCGTCGTTAGGTTAATTTACTCGTCGTTAGGTTAATAACTCGTTTAGGTTAATAACCTCGTCGTTAGGTTAATTTACATTATCGTATTGGTGCGAAAAACGAGCAATTTCTTAAGGTTACCTTCATTTTATATTATCGTTTAGTGGCAAAAATGCGCGCTGCAGGATGGGGTGTTTGCAATGAAATATTTACTTGTCAAAAGATAAACTAAATAACAGAATATAGCAAACAAGCGGGTTAGTTTAAAGTAGAAACGTCAATATGTTGTAGTGGAAGAACCATGCACCGAGGTCAGATTTTTTTGAGTCTCCAATTAAGGAAATAGAAATGAAATGTGTTTCTAGTTTGTTTGTTAGTACTGGGCAAAAAAAAACTTTAACAAATCCAAGCTTTCTCTGCGCTCTCCCCGCATTTTCCGCCATTTGTTTTATCTTCAATTTTTTAGATGACGGTACCGTAAAACACGGTTAAATTGCATCAATGCTGAGGTACATCATTAGAGAACTTTTGGATGAATATTTTTTTTTTCGTTTTTAAATATATTCCCAGTACTTTGCCGAGTCTTTGCTTGCACGTTGGATGCCATTAATCTGATTACTCACTCCCTGTTGTGTTTTCTCTGCGCCTGTATAATATACAGGTGTCTTTTTTTGGGTGGTGCGCTGACTGATTACAACGCGAGCAAAGTAAGATGGGTTGGTTCTCGTGCGAAATAATTAGCGCACTATGAGTCGAGCATGGCTTTGGAGAAATAGTTATCCCCCAGTGCATTTCCCCTCTCAGGCTTCCTACGTACAGCTGCCTCGCAGCTGTAAAAGCACCACAAAAACCTGTTCGACTGAGAAAGCAAGCATCCTGTTTACAGGCGGCTTCGCAGGCCCTAGCGGAGAAGTAAAATAGATCGTAGCCGCCTCTAGAATGAGAGTCACCGGCAAAAACCCACACCTACCTATATATGCCGCCACTTCTAAGTATGGCTTCAGAGATCTCGTTCGAACGCGAGTGGGATTTTTTTTGTCGACACAATATCGTATCGTTTTAGCGAAAAACCTCATGTTTGAGATGAGACGACGTTTTTTCTAGTCACTGTGTATTATATATCATTTTTTATGAAAATAATTATTCCAATTTAAATTCCGCAATATAACCCGAGTAGGAATAGTTTTAGATACGTCTACGACTTTTATCTACTCATGACAGGTTTGCCAAGTTTCCGTTGTCAAAGCAACTGATTCTGGTCGTTGACAATAATTCAGAAATGATTAGACTGAATCCGTTAAAAATCCTCTGACGGCCACAGGGACTTTCAGAATCAGTCTGCGAGGGTTCTCACAAAGTCTGTAGGGCAAAGCGTAGCCCGTTGCTACTTTTCAAGCAGCCTGCAGGATAATGGCGCCCTTATATTTCCCAAGAGTTTCCACGTGTATGAGCCTCTGCAGAGAATTGCTCTCTATTCCCTGTCGGCTCCCTCTTGCCAGACGGTTAGTGTGGGAGCAAGACCTTCCCATCTGTCGAGCGGATTCCATACGGAGGCTGCAGGTTCATACGTCCCCTGCACTCCCCCTGTGTGCCTCGCACTCCTATCTACCTTCACTGCCCCCACCGAATTTATTGTCACCCTGTTTGTAGTGGGTAGCCCAATGTTACAAAACTGACTCATGTATCGGCTAGTACTGCGATTTATTTTAATAGTAAATACCAATGATTTCCCTCAGTACATCTAGTAGCTACCATGCTGAATACTGATAGATCGCGTTGTCATATAGTACTATATAGTCATATTGCAATATATTATTAATTATTATTACTGCAATGCATGCATCCGGATCCCTTATTAAGGGCATGAGAAGACGCGGGTACAGCGCATGCGCTGACACACGTATAGCTAGGTCCAGAAGTTGACACACGCGTCGCACGGAATCGGAGACATCCATGTACGTGCACAAAAACTCATACGTTCACTTAAACATATCGAATCACTAGAGCAATGTTGTGCGGCACGGTCATACGCGTCAGTGATGTGAAAGTATTTCTCCCAGTGTTTATTCTCTTAACCCTCCTTCGTTTCCAATGTGGTGACTTTGTTTTTCTTATTGTGACAAACATATATTTAAAAAAAATGATATTAGCAACGAGCGATACATTTAACTATTCCGATACGGTCCGATCCGATCCGGTTGTTTTTTAAGTCCGAACGAACCATTAAATGTAGGCAAATTCGTAAAGTTTGGTTAACACTTCTGTCTGTTGTGTCCGGTATTTAAAACGAAGCTTGTCTCGCTTTGTGAAACTTTTGAAAAAGTGTGTAGTATTCACTGATCTCAACACTTTTTTTCAAGCTTATTCTGTTTTCGATTTCTTTTGAGATGTCTGCACCATACAGGTTAGGAAAACAATTTTCCAAATGGATATTGTGAAAGTAGAGCGGATGCTTTTTAGCTAAACGTAGCATAACCCAACACTTTTGTTTCCCCTTTTTTGGTTTTGATCACACAAGTGCATTTCCGACGAAACGTCAACTATAGCTGGTTGTATGTGATAGAGACACTGTCATTTATTCTCTACCTTCTTTTTGTTTGACTCTCTCTCTCTCTCTCTCTCGCTCTCTCTCTATCTTTATCTCTCCCTCTGTCTCTCTCTTCTCTCTCTCCTCTTCTCTCTTCTCTCTCTCTCTCTCTCTCTCTCTCTCTCTATCTATATATCTGATCTGTCTATCTATCTATCTATCTATCTAACTATCTATCTATCTATCTATCTATCTATCTATCTATCTATTAATCTCTCTATTTCGCTCTCGCTCTCTCCCCTCCCATATATATATATATATATATCGTTTTCTTTCGCTCGAACAATCTTGCTCTAGTCTCTCTCTCTCAACGCACACACCACACCACACGTCACGCGTACGCGCACGCAGCACGCACGCACACGCACGCACACACACACACACTATTCCCCCTCTCGCTCTCTCTCTCTCTCTATCGCTCGTCTTTTTCTTCGTTTTCTTCTTTCTTCTTCGCTCGGCATCATCTTCTCTTTGTGCACGTGTATATCGTGGTATGGTCATGGCTGTATATATAGTATGAGCAGCAATAGTAATAGGCACGTGCATTAGCAACGCCCACGTACTTCGTACGTGCTCGCATGTGGCTGGGGAGAAACCGTGATCTTTCACAATTCTTATTTCCTGTGCTTGTAAATCGCCATGGCAACGCGCACATGTAGGTTGACGGAACGTTCACTCGTGTGCTACCTACAATTGAGGTTAGTCCTGCAAAGTATGCCTTAGCTAGACACACCGACCTCTTGCCGTAGCTGTATAACAGTGGCATCGCGTGTCGCGCACGCTGGTCGCCTTCGTTTGTTTCTTTTTTCGCGCAGTTTTCTTATTCGGCTCTGCAGTACGCTTCAGTTGCAGATGCTTGTTTTGTTCCGGTTTTAGTATGCTTTGGCTTTCGGTTTGTCTACACGCGAAACCTGTGTGCAGATGTGTGCTAGCGTATCTGTGAAATGCAGCACACCACTGCCGAAATATCGTGTCTCAGGCTTTTTCATCGGGAAGTGCAGTTATAATAAACTAACATGGCTAGCAACACGTCGTGAATGCAATTTCACCAGCATAACTGGCCGTATGCTGGGAACTCTCTCTCTCTCTCTCTCTCTCTCTCTCTCCTCTCTCTCTCTGCTCTTTCTCTCTCGCTTTCTTCTCTCTCGCCGCGCTCTCGCTCTCTCTCTCTCTCCTTTTCTCTTCGTATCTCTCTCTATCTCTCTCTATCTCTGATCTCTATCTATCTCTACTCTCTCTATCTGATCTCTCTCTCGGCTCTATTCTCTCTCTCTCTCTCTCTCTCTCTCTCTCTCTCTCTCTCTCTCTCTCTCTCTCTCTCTCTCTCTCTCTCTCTCTCTCTCTTCTCTCTCTCTCTCTCTCTCTCTCTCTCTCTCGCTCTATCTAACTCTCTCTCGCTCTCTCTCACTCTCTGCCTGTCTGTCTGTCTCTTACGCTATCATCATGTACTGCTGGCTACTGGCTGCTTGCAGCGCTACCTCTCGGTGTTTTCCTACAGTCCAGCTGCTCTGTGTAATGCATTAGGAAATGCCGTGATTAGGGAAACGTGCTTAGGTGGTGGTGCGGTTGAGTGGTTGCTAATGATCATGTATTTCTCTTGGGTTGTAGCCGATGCTGTGTGCGCTCCCTGTTTAAGACGTATAAACACCTTTGCCTCTGCATTAAGTTAGCTTATACTTACGTGGGCGTGCCGATGCCAGTTCTGTCGGTGTAATAAATGAATGCGTGATTAGTTAGGGTCTAATTGTTTAATTCGTTGGGAATATATCTACTACTCGGCACGATTATTAGCTCATTAATTGAATAAGGATCTAATGCAGTGGTGTATCATGGCAGGGACGATTGTAGTGGCAGGGTGAAATGTGAGAACTTCTCTAAATTGCGGACCTTGAAAATCCTAATAACATCTTTTTAGGCGGTCCGCTATTAAATTGCTCTGGAAATTTATATATCTAAAGGTGAGAATCTGAGAATTGGCTATATTAACGAGTACGTGTGATCGCTTGTTATGTAATGATAAAATTGTTTAGGCGTTTGAGCAATAAAATGCATCATTAGCCGTTTGATTGCAATTTTGTTTATTGCAGCAGGTTTTTTTTATTTTGTTCTCATGTGCCACCGTATAGTTAACTGTAAACGTGACACAATCAACACCTTTCCAGAGAACCTTGCACAGCTTCGCGTTTCAAAAACCATTAGTGGTGGTTATTTGATGATTGTGCGCATGGACGTGTGTGTGCATAACATTCACCAATATATACCAATAGTCACGGTCACACCTGCACACGTGCACGCATGCGCTCACACACACATGCATATATGTGCTTGGGTATATGCTCTCATTATATATATTTTATGTTTGCGTTGCCCGCAGGGTCCCAGCACCGATGTAGAGGAAAATCATGAGGCGGCTTCTGCTTCTGCTTCGCCAACTCCTGCTACTGCATCAGGAGATGAGTCTAGCAGGGCTGCCAGCGCCGATAGAGGTGAGATACCATCTTATAGGTTACCACTGCTACCTATCCGCCCCTCCATTTTATGCCTAAACGCTAATATACATGTCCGAGATATAGCTATGCTCTCTACTCTCTATTTTCTCTCTAATCTATGTTCTTGACTCGGGTGTTCATATTGTTCTCATGTCACTGTTCCTGTGTTTTTACACGTGTATTGCATGCTTACCGGCATGTTCCCACTGTCAAACTTCTTCGTGCTGTCACAGGTATTGTTATGATCTCAAACGTTCTAATGTTCGTGTCATTGCATTTGTTCGCTTCTCCATGCTGCCATGGATATTCCTACTTTATCTACATGCTCTTAGCGTCAGGCAGGCTCTGGCTGGCTAGGATGGATGTAACATAGTTCTTCTTATTTTCTTCCACAAGTGTTTCCACTGCCGCAAATGTTTCCACTGCCACCCACAAGTATTCCTGCTCCCACAAGTGTTCCTGCTCCCACAAATGATCCTGCTCCCACAAGTGTTCCTGCTCCCACAAGTGTTCCTGCTCCCACAAGTGTTCCCTCTCCCACAAATGTTGCTGCTCCACACAAGTGTTCCTGCTCCCACAAGTGTTCCTGCTCCCACAAGTGTTCTTGCTCTCACAAATGTTCCTGCTCCACACAAGTGTTCCTGCTCCCATAAGTGTTCCTGCTCCCACAAGGGTTCCCGCTCCCACAGGTGTTCCTGCTCCCACAAGTGTTCCTGCTTCCACAAGTATTCCTGCTTCCACAAGTGTTCCTGCTCCCACAAGTGTTCCTGCTCCCACAAGTGTTCCCTCTCCCACAAGTGTTCCTGCTTCCACAAGTGTTCCTGCTCCCACAAGTGTTCCTGCTCCCA